CCCCAGAGTTCAGAGCACTTGGAAGGCATCCCAGGCTTAGGGCTTCCCCCAGGATGGTATGGCCTCCAGGGAAGCAGGATGTCCGGGCTCTGGATGCCCCTGGGAAAGTCCTGTCTATTTCAGGACTGCAAACCACCCCAGGAGAGTCCAGCCCCAAAAGGTGTCAGAGTTACATTCATGCCTAAATACAACCAGCCTTTGATTAAAGTTCCCAAAATATGGGGCATCCTTTTAAATGCCAGATTAATATTTAGCTGTAATGTTTTAAGCCTTCCTTTTCTTAATACAAGACCTAAATGAGTGGGGAAATGTACTAATCTGGGAATCTGGTATCTGTGCCTGAGGCAGGCACTGGGTGGACAGTGCCCTAAATTAGGCTGGATTCAGTGGCAGGTTTAGAGGCATAGCACCCAAGGGGAGCCCAGATGCTTCAAACAAAAGCTTTGCAAGTTCATGCTTATAAAGTAATGCTTTGGCCATGCTTCCCTTTTCCCTGCTGTTGCAGCTGCTATAAATGTTATCACAGGGGCGCCTGGGGGGCTCAGCCGGTTAAGCGTCTGCCTTCGGGTCAGGTCATGATCCCAGGGTCCTGGGATAGAGCCCTGAGTCGGACTCCCTGCTGCTTCCCCTGCTTGTGCTCTCTCACTCTCTCTCTCTCTTAAATACATAAATAAAAATATTTAAAAAACAAAAATAAAATCACAAAATCTTCCTAAAAATCACCCTTGGAAACTTTTTTCCCCTCAGAAACTAATCTAATACCCAGAGTTACTTTAAGAAGAAGTTCAAGAAGTCAATATGGCTATATAGAGAAATAATATTTATTGAGCTCAACTGTGTACCAGGCATGGTGGTACTCTCTCCTATATGCATTATGCAACATTTCCCAGAATGTTTTCTGTGGAAATAGCCCAGAATGATATGCAAAATGTGGTCTTCTGGGAAACCCTATGGACAATATATCCTACCAGTATATCTCCAATATTATGTTTGTATATGGACGATTCTTTTAAGTCCCACAGTAAAGAAACTGTTTATATTTCCTTAACTCAGTATATCTCAAAGTGTGGAATATATGTGAATGGGTAATGCATGAGATGAATTTAGAAAGTGCATAAATGTAAGTTTTAAATTTTAATGGTTATATATATTTATCATATAACACAACTGACAGATCAAACCTGTGACTGCACATACATTCTTCAGGACACATTCATTCATTCATTTCACACACATTTACTGAGGACCTGTATTCTAGACACTGAGAATAGAGCAATAAATAAAGTCCCTACTCTCAAAAATTTATATTTTATTGGGGAGCAATGAAAACTCAAACAAATAAACACATTGAACAAATATAAATATATGTTCAACAGTAAAAGGTAGAATAAAGAAAAAGAGTTGTTCAGGGGGACAGAATGATGGTGCTTTTAAAAATTAAGATACAATTAAAATACCATAATATTCACCCTTTTTTTATAGATTTTTATAAATAAATAAAAAATAATAAATAAATTGGACAGAGAGAGACACAAAGAGAGAGGGAACAGAAGCAGCGGGAGAAGGAGAGGGAGAGAAGCAGGCTCCCCGCTGAGCAGGGAGCCCGATGTGGGGCTCGATCCCAGGACCCTGGGATCATGACCTGAGCCGAAGGCAGACGCTTAACGACTGAGCCACCCAGGAGCCCCATAATATTCACCCTTTTTAAAATACACAATTCAGTATATATACAAAGTTGTCACATTTTTTTTTTTAAGTGATGATTTGGTACTGGTTCTGACCAAGATGGAGTAACAAGGACCAGATTTATCTTCTCACCTCAAACAACCACAAACCAGACAAAATGATAGACATCCATAGAACGCACCCAACAATGGCAGAATACCCATTCTTTTTGTGTGCGTATGGACTATTTAGCCAGAGAGACCAAGTCCTGGCTCATAAAACAAGCCTCAATGAGTTTTAAATAATATACTGTATGTTCTCTGACACAATGAAAATAAAACAGAAGCCAATGACAGAAGAATCTCTGGAAAATGCCTAAATATACTTGAAAACTAAATGTTTCTAAATAACCTATGGGTCAAAGATGATTTCAAAGGGGAAATTAGAAAGTATTTTGAACTGAATGGAAATGAAGACACAATGTATTGGAATAGGTGGGATGCTGCTAAAGAAGCAGTTGGGGGAATTTGTAGCACCAAATGAATATCTTGGAGAAGAAGAAATGCTCCAGTCAGTGGCTTCAGCTTCCATTTTAAAAAGTTAGAGAAGAACAAATTAAATCCAAAGTAGGCAGACTAAAGGAAATAATGCAGGTAGGAGTGGAAATCACTGGAACCAAATGGGAAAAGTCAAAGGACTCAAGAGCTAGTTCTCTTTTGAAAATCCATGGTATTGCTCCATCTCTAACCTGCCTGATTAGGGAAAAGGGGGAAGATACAAATTAACAATATCAGGAAAGAGAGAGGCAACATCACTACAAACTCTACCGATATTAAGAAAATAATAAGAGAATATCATGAACATCTTTATGTCAATAAATTTGGTAACTCTGATGAACTGAACAACTTTTTGAAAGACACAAACCACCAAAACTCACTGGAGAAGAAACAGATAACCTGAATAGCCTTACATTTATTAAAGGAATTGAATTTGAAGTTAAAAATTTTCTGACAAAGGAGACTCCAGCCTCAGATGTCCTCATAGGTGAATTCTACTAAACATTTAAGGAAGAAATAATACCAGTTTTGTTCAAACTCTTCCAGAAAACTGAAGAAGAGAGCATACATCTCAATTCATTCTGTAAAGCCAGCATTACTCAGACATGACAAGAAAACTACAGACCGATATAGCTCTCAAGAACATCAACACAAAAATTCTAAACAAAATTTTAGCAAATCAAAGCCAACAATATGTAAAAGGATAATACATCATGGTCAGGTGGGATTTATCCCAGGGATACAATGTGGGTTTAACATTAGAAAAATTAACGTGATTTGCCATATTGACATACTAAAAAAGAAATACCATCTGAGTATCTTAGTAGACACAGAAGAAACATTTGACAAAAGCCAACATCTGTACCTCATAAAAATTCTCAGCAAACTAGAAATAGAAAGGAACTTCCCCAACCTGATAAAAGGAATGTATAAAAAACCTACAGCTAACATCATACTTAGTGCTGAAAGACTGAAAGAAAGCTTTCTCCTTAAGATCAAGAACAAGACAAGTATGTCTTTAGTCAGTAAAATAAGGCAAGAAAAAGAAACAGAAGCCATCCAGATCAGAAAGGAAGAAGTAAAACTATCTTTACTCACAGACATGACCATCTCTGCAGAAAATCCAAAGGAATCTACAAAAAAGCCACTAGAACTAATAAGTGAGTTTAATAAGGTTGCAGGTTACAGTTAATATACAAAATGCTCCTGTATTTCTGCATATTAGCAACAAAAATTGACAAGTGAAATGAAAAACCAATACCATTTATAATACAGATTGTAGATATAAATCTGACGAAACATGTAAAAGACCTATGCAAGAAAATCTGCAAAAACAATTGATGAGAGAATTAGAGAAGACCTAAAAATATGGAGGAATACAGTGTTCATGGGTTGGAAGGCTCAACATTGTTAGGATGTCAATTCTTCTCAAATCTATAGATCTACAGATTTAATACAATCTCAGTCAAAATCTAAAATTTTTGAATTTAACTGATTTGAAAATTCATACAGAAATGCAAAGGACCTAGACGGGCCAAAGCAATGTTGAAAAAGAACAAAACTGGGGATTTAATGGGACATTATTTTAGGACTTATTATAAGGCTACAGTTATCAAGACAATGTGGAATTGATGCTAAGAGAGACAGATCAAACGGAATATATGGGCAACTAATTTTCATCAAAGGTACAAAGGCAATTCAGTGGAGAAAGGACAACCTTTTCAACAAATAGTGCTGGAATAGTTGCATCTCCATATACACACGAACAAAATAAAACTAAACTAAACTTTGTTCCATACCTCACACCATATACAAAAGTTAACTCAAGATGGATCATAAACCTAAACACAGAACCTAAAGCCATTAAACTGCTAGGAGAAAACCTCTGTGACCTTGGGTTAGGCAAATACTTTAGACACGACACCAAAAGCACAATCCATAAAAGAACAAACTGATAAATGGGACTTTCTCAAAATTACAAACTCTAGTCTTTGAAAGACACTGTTAAGAGAATGAAAAACATGCCACAGATTGGAAGAAAAAATTTGCAAATCACATAGCTGACAGAGGACTTCTATCCCAGTGGCTTTCCAAGCTCCCCTCCTACAATGACAGTCTATCCCTAATGGTTCTTTGTTTAAGAGACAGTATAAAGTCCTAACCAGTAAGAATCTGGAGCTGTGGTTCTCTACTTTAGCTTCACCTGGAAGGCTTGTTAAAACAGACTGCTGGGCTCCACCCTCAGAATTTCGGAATCAGTAGAGCCTGAGGGTTTTCATTTCTGATAAGCTCCCTGGTAATGTTTAGGCTGCTGGCCTGGATACCACAATTTGAGAACTGCTCATCTAGACCAATTTAGACTAAACTTGAAACAAAGTCAAATGCAAGATTTTCCCTCCAAGTGAAAATAAACTATGCTCACTAAAAAATAATTTATCCCCCACCTTCTTTTTTATTAGCTGGAGACATCTGTAAGTGCTAATCAGCGCTTCTGATCAGCAAGCAATAACAAACATGACATCACTGAGTTGGCATGATTCTAGCCTTGCCTCTTTGTTGAATACACATTTTGGTTTCCACAAAGCTGTTCAGAATTAACCCTGGAAAACATACACGGCCTTATACCAGCCATGTCACAATGACAACATGAAAGAAGCCATCCGGCCCCAGTGAAGCTCATCAACTTCCTTTGACCCTCCGTCATCCCCCCCACCCCCTTCCCCACCCACTACATCCCCCACCCCCCACCCCATTGTAGGGCTGCCATCTGGGTCTCACCGTCCAGGATGGCCCATTGATTGTCAATCTCTGTGTGTTTCAGGTAGGAGTCTTCAATGGTGGGGTCATAGTCAGGCACAAAAATCTTCTGGAAAAACTGGATGGTGAGGGCACTCTTGCCCACACCCCCATCTCCCACCACCACCAGCTTGTACGTGGGGAGGTTGTCACTGGGGACAGCACTGGTTGCCATGTTTACGGTAGGTCAGACCTGGGGAGGCAAGACATGTGTAATGAGGCCAGGGGCTTTTTCCTTTCCGACCTTATAGAGTAATAAATACTCCCAATTATATATTGATTCAGTCATTTATTGAATACCAACTATGTGCCGCACCTGGTCTTGGGGACACAGTACTACTAGACACCATGAGGCCTTTAACAAGTACAGCCAAAAGCCATGTCAAAGAAGCATTTCGACCACTAAAGTCTGCCCTATTCCCATACAGGTAAACATGTGGGTGCTAGTCCGAGCAGGGATGGCACCTTTTACATCAGCTCTGGCCATGGGCCTGCTGTGCCCAGAAGGATTTGAGGTTGCCTGAGCTAAGGGAAGGTTGGCCTTAACAGCCTGGTGCACCAGAGTTCAGGATCTCCACGTCCACCCCCCCCTGGAATTTAGTGATTGTGGCTACTTTCCCTCAGTCTCCTTGCCCTTTGTCATGCAGAAAGTTGTGCTGGAATCTCTTGGCATCTGGTCAACCCCTGTGTTAGCTTGGCGGGAGGAAGAGGAGGAGCAGGGCTAAGTTTTGTTTTAATGATGTTGAGTCCAGCTAAGGCAGTGGTTCTCAACCAGGGGCAATTCTGCCCCCAGGGACATCTGCAATCTCCGGAGATAATTTTGGTTGTTAAAACCAAGTGGGTATTACTGGCATCCAGTCAGCAGAGGCCAAGGCTGTGGCTACACATCCTACAATGCACAGGGCGTCCCCCACAACACAGAATTATCCATCCTAAAACGTCAATGGTGCTAATGAGCTAAGGTGACTAGGCAGGAGCCAAAAATGTGGGGCCAGGATTCTAAAGGATAATTGAGCCTTAACAGATAAGGGCTGATTGTGAAAAGGTGACAGCAGAGAAGCAAAGAGTGATCTTTGGAAGCAGCATCATAAAGTGGCAAGGAGGAGAGGGAGGCAGGGAGCACGGAAGGAGTGCTCAGCCCAGGGATCTGGGCTGCTAACTGTGGGCCCCTCCGGGGTGCCAGGGAGAACAATGCCCCCTCCTGCTATGGCGACACTCCCGGGTAGCATGAGCACTGACCTGGTGCCAAGAGGGTGCAAGCTTGATCCTGCCTCACGGTACTAGAAAAGAATCTCTGCACAAGCTGGGAGGCAGAAAGGCATGGCACAGGTGTGACGGGGACACTCAAGGGTGCGGACTGGGTGTCCTGTGTGCCTCACTGCTGCTTGGGAAGGCCATGCCGAGCCATACCTTCCTTACCTATCAGATGAGAGGGCTGGATTTTTTTTTTTTTTTTTACAGTTATTTGCAGCTCTAAAAGAGTCCCCAGTTCTAGAGAGCAACAGAAAGGGTGTTAGACCCAAGTGTGGGTTATGTGGCCACACTGATTTGCATGGGGCTACGGGAAAGAGTCATTGCAAAAATGCTCTGCAGTTACTGAAACTTGATGTTGACATTTAGGATTTCCTTGCATCGTGAGGAGGTATAGGTGCCTGTATACACTGCGGGTGAGCATGTAAATCTGTCCCGACTGGATTGAGAATACACTCGCATAATTATATCAAAACTTAAAATGACATACCATCTCTCGAAGCTATCTGGTATATGAGGATTCATTCTAGGAAATAATCAGACAAATGTACAAAGATGTAAAGAACAGGGGAAAATGGAAATCACTTAAATGTCGGGGGGGGAGTTAAAGAAAAAGTCAGCTACACAATGCAATACTATGCAGCCATGAAAAAGGATGACAGACCCTAACCTAGAAAAGTTTATATTATGCATGAAAAAAGCCCCAAACAGGCTGCAAAACCACAAGTACATATGATTGCACTTCCATGAATGAATCTATATGTCTAGATGTGGTTCTAGGCATAGAGAGGACTGGCAGATTTGGGGGCACTTTCTCAATTTTTCTCAACACTTGCTACAACAAGCTAATATTATATATGTATACTGGGAAAGTTTAACAATATTAAAATATTCCCACCAATGGGAATAAAGGTACAGCATAGGGAACATAGTCAATGGTACTGTAACAGCAATGCATGGTGACAGATAGCTACATTTGTGGTGAGCGGAGCAGAATGTATAGAGTTGATGAATCACTATGTTGTACACCTGAAACTAATGTAACATTTAAAAAAAATTTTTTTTTTAATGTTCCCGCCAAAATAAATGTTCCAGCTACCTAAAAATGTAGGACTCCGCATCCTTCAGGTAGGGATTTAAGCTCCTTTGGTGCAGGATATTGGGCCCAGGGGCCGGCTGAAGCCCCAGCATCTGGTGCCCTGTCTCCCTAAGTAGGGTAAAGGTGGGGACAAGTTGAGGCTTTGGCAAACTGAGCTCTCCCACATGACAAGGGATGGTGGTCCAAAGGGGCCACAGGGCAGTTGGAAGGAAACAGAAATGGGGAGAGGAGGGCAAGGGTCAGCTCCCTCTCTCCTTTGCCTCTCAGGTCAGGGGAACGAGGTGTCAGCCCCTCCTTACCCGCCATCTTGGCTGAGGGTGGACAGTGACACCGGGCCAGGGTGGGCATGTTTGCCTGTGAGAGAGGCTGTTTCTAAAGCTCCCTTCCATTCTCCGCTGGCAGCGACATGAATAAAAAATACTTGGTGGGTGGGAAGATATCAAGAAGGAAAATTATTTCTCTTGATTTTCTTCTCAAAATAAAACAAGATAAGAAATCTCCACTAGTAAGTATGATAGAGGACATGAACTGAATCTGAGTTGGTACTCAGACCAGCCACAGCAGAATCACTCGGGGACCTGCTTGCCAGGCAAGGCAGCTGCCAGGAAACAGACGAGGGGCTCCTTCCCTTCACAGAGTTCCGCACTCAGGGGTTGAGCCCCTGAGAGACCACAGGCAGCCAACTCGGGGTTCCCTCCCAACCAAGACTCAATGGAAGCAGGTTAGAATGCACAGCACAAAAATTGGACCGATCTCTTGTGGTGAAAAACCCTTTAGTGCTGCCCATCGCTGATGGGCCAAGTCCCGGTTCCTTCACTGGACATTCAAGGCTGTCACCGGTCACCAGTACTGCCTCTCCAGTGGTAGCTATGCCACAGCCTCTCACACTCTACTCGCTCTCCCAACCAGCTTTATGTTCGCCCAGTGTACCCTGGGGTCACACCGAGTCCTCTGCAGACCCCGAGGCCCCCTGGGAGAGCACATACCTCTTCACAGGTCAGGCCCGGGCCCAGGAATCACCTCCTATGGGAGGCACCTCCTTCTACTCTGCGCCCTGCAGTTCCTGGTGCAGAGGTCACCAGTACCCTTGAAACCGTCTACATTTAATGTGCACAGAAGGGCAGGGATGGCACCTCGTCCCTCTCTGTATCGCCAAAGGCTGGCAGAGCATCAGCAAGGAGCAAAAGGCTAGCTGAAGGCATTTCTGAACCACTGTCAGACCACCTACTAGCCACAGCATTGGGCCTGACCATGGAGAGGGCCAAGAGGCAACCCTCCCAGCCTCCTTCTCCCAAGTCAGACCAATCACACAGAAAAGCCCCCTGGAAGCAAGTGTGGGCCCAGGAAGGAAAGAAGGTGTTGCAGGGCCAAGAGAATGAGTCCAGAACCAGGCGCCTCCCCCAATTCATAAAGGCTCTTCTCCTGATGGACATGTTTTTCCAGGCTTTCAGCCTCCCCCCTAATAATCCCTGACTAAACAATGTCTTTTTAAGTGCAGAGGGCAGTCAAAATGCACCACACTCCTACAAAATAGGCTGGACTCAAGCGGTAAAGAGAAAGATTTTTTTTCAGTCACCACAGGCTATGACGAAAGACACCACAGGATAAAAAGTTGGTTGGTGGTTAAGGAGCAAACTGCTTACATTCACAAGACCCCCCTCCTCTCTAGACTATTCAACTAGAAGATCAGAGATCTTTCTAGATCTTTTTAGAGATCATTCCAGAATGTCGGTTCTTTACTTTTTGGGGGTCGTGGATGGCCCCTTTGAGGTGGGAGGGTAGTATAAGGTGGACCTAGGGTCTCTTTTTAAAGTTCCCCCACCAGTTTTCGATGCTAGATACTCTCCCACAGACCAGTTGGGCAAGTTACTGTTCACAGCCTCAGTTTCCTATTTGTAAGATGGGATTGATTAGAAAATTATACTTTGCAGGACTGCTTTAAGCATGAAATGAAAATGTATGAAATGTGCCCAGTTTAGAGAAGGTGCTCCAATGTTTGTTCCTGCGCCTTGTTTACTTTGTTCCCTGGAGAGACTCCCCCATCAGAAGTCCCGCTGCCACCTCAGCTCCATGTCAGGCAGGCCTGTGTGGGAACGTCACCCAACATTCAGAACGTTGTTTGCATGGGAAATGGCTCCGAGGTTCAGGCAGCCCCCTCCCCTCAGAAACCAACTTTTGGAACAGCTGCCGCTGGGCCCGTGGGCGGCTGAGCGCTGGTTCCCATGGCAACCACCGCTCCCAGCACCCCTCCCAGTCCACCGGCAGCCCAGCCCCTCACACATGCTGGAAACTTTTTCCTCAAAGGCAGCGTTGCTTCTTGGACAATTTTAATAACACGTATACAAAAACTTCGGGCATCTTTAACCAGAGAAATAAGCTTTTCTTGGCGGCTGTCTTTTGCTCCCTCTCTCTCTCAGGGTTAGCACCATCTTGCGAGATGTGAATTTTTGTTTCCTGAATGGCAGCTTCGTCTCCTCCAAGCAGTTCAGAAGCTCCGCCAGGACAGGAGCCACATCTCCTCATTCCCTTGCATTTTACAGGGCCAACACATGGGAGGCTCAGGGCCCAACACATTGACTGACCGCTGGATTCTGCCCCACGGCAGCCTTCTACCCATCCAGCCCTCCCTTGGGCCAAGAAGCAGGAGGTGATGCTCCTAGGAGGTGCGGGGCTGGATGGACAGATGACCCCAGAATAGCCTCTTCACCCAGCCATTTTCAAAGTATGCTGGGAGGGTTCCGAGACCTCCTGGGGACAGTCCTGTGCAAAGCCCCCCTTGGTTCTCCAGGGGGGGTGGGTGGCCTGGGTGGGGGGGTGTCATTAATAGCCTGTGACTGCAGTTA